TTTTTTTTTTTTTTTTTTGAGACAGAGTCTCAGTTTGTCATCCAGGTTGGAGTGCAATGGTGCAATCTTGGCTCACTGCAACCTCCACCTCCTGGGTTCAAGTGATTCTCCTGCCTCAGCCTCCTCAATAGCTGGGATTATAGGTGTGTGCCACCACACCCAGCTAATTTTTGTATTTTTAGCAGAGATGGGGGTTTGACCATGTTGGTGAGGCTGGTCTCAAACTCCTGACTTTGTGATCTGCCCACCTTGGCCTCCCAAAGTGCTGGGATTACAGGCGTGAGCCACTGCGCTCGGCCCAAAGATCTCATATCTAAATAAAGCCATATTCGGAGGTTTCGGGTGGATGTGAATTTTGGGGAACACCGTTCACCTCAATATATAAGCCGCCATAGGAGATGAAGTCCTTAGTACATGCTCAACACCAGGTCCACAGCCAGCAAACATAAGCTCTGGTGAAGTCACCAGGGCTTGACCCCGGGTCCTGTCATGTCTCAGAGCTCATGAGGCCAATTTTGGCCAATTGTGCCCACGGGACTCAGGGTCTGGGAGACAGGGTCAAGTTGTTCCAGGATGGTGGCCTGGACAGCCCCTCGTCCCTGCCGAGCAGGCCTGGGAATCAGATTGTAGCTTAGAGAATTCGGGAACAGGATAAGGTGGATCTTTTTTCATTCAAGTCAAAGGGAACCTCCCATGACTCCTCCTTGCCTCCCAGCACAAGCAGCTGGAGCACCCTTTGCTGACTCTCAGCCCTTCCCTCCTCTGTACTAAGTAATATTTGGGACAGTAGTAATAAACCGAGGCCGGGCGCGGCGGCTCACGCCTGTAATCCCAGCACTTTGGGAGGCCGAGGCGGGTGGATCACCTGAGGTCAGGAGTTCAAGACCAGCCTGGCCATCATGATGAAACCCCATCTTTAATAATAATAATAATAAACCACAGTTTGGGAGGCTGAGGCGGGCAGATCACTTGAGGTCAGGAGTTCGAGACCAGCCTGGCCAACATGGTGAAACCCCATCTCTACTAAAAATACAAAAATTAGCTGGGCATGGTGATGGGGGCCTGTGATCCCAGTTACTCGGGAGGCTGAGGCAGGAGAATCACTTGAACCCGGGAGGTGGAGGTTGCAGTGAGCCAAGATCATGCCACTGCACTCCCGCCTGGGTGAAAGAGTGAGTCTCTGTCTCAAAACAATAATAATAATAATAATAAATCAATAACCACAACTGACACATCTATCGCACTGGCAGAAGCACTTCCTGTTAAAACGCTATGCAGGGCCGGGCACAGTGGCTCATGCCTGTAATCCCAGCACTTTGGGAGGCTGAGGCAGGGGGATCATTTGAGGTCAGGAGTTCGAGACCAGCCTAGCCAACATGGCAAAACCGCTTCTCTACTAAAAATACAAAAATTAGCTGAGTATGGTGGTGGGTGCCTGTAATCCCAACTACTTGGGAGGCTGAGGTAGGGAGAATCACTTGCACCTGGGAGGTGGAGGTTGCCGTGAGCCAAGGCTGTGCCATTGCACTCCAGCCTGGGCGACAGAGCAGGTCTCCATCTCAAAAACAAACAAACAAAAAACATCTGCGTGGCAGACTTATTCATCTAGCTGTTATAGAGATGGGGAAACTGAGGCACAGAGTGATGCAGTCTCTTGACAACAGTCACACGACCAGTTGGCGGCACAGGTAGCGTTTGAGTCCAGGCTGTCCAGACCCAGAACCAGAACCTCCGCACTTAACCGTTCTGCTACTACCTTGTCCTTCTGAAAATATAGAGATAGGTTAAAATCATGAAGTCTTCTGTTTATTAAGCACTGAACCTTCTACATGTTACATCCTTGAGACAACCCTGTGAGGCCCAAGACTGTTCCGATCCCCATTTTACAAATGAGGAAACTGAGGCTCAGAGAGGTTGCGCGGATTAAAATACTATTATAGATAACCCACCAGGGAGAGAGTAGCAGAACCAAGTCTAGGGCTCCCAAACTCGTAATTCACCTTGTGCTTTTAGTACACAGGCATTGAGCACTGTGACGTGATTTATCAGAGCAGCCACCCAGGCTGACTTCAGGGACTCTCTTCCCCTTCTTTGGCCTTGGGTCCCCCAACTGCATATTCTTGGGATACTTGTCTCTGCAGTCTTCCAACTCCATCAGCTGCAAAGCCAAGACAGAGTTTCTGCCTTTTTCTTTTCTTTTTTTTTTTCTGAGACGGAGTCTTGCTCTGTGGCCCAGGCTGGAGTGCAGTGGCACAATCTCAGCTGGCGGCAACCTCTGCCTCCTGGGTTCAAGCAATTCTCCCACCTCAGCCTCCCAAGTAGCTGGGATTACAGGCACCTGCCACCACGCCCCGCTAATTTTTTGTATTTTAGTAGAGATGTGGTTTCACCGTGTTGCCCAGGCTGGTCTCAAACTCCTGACCTCGTGATCCACCCGCCCCCGTCTCTGAAAGTGTTGAGATTACAGGGGTGACCCACTGCGCCTGGCAGTGTGTCTCTCTTTAACACAGTTCTGCCCCCAAGTCCCGCAGCTGGGTCTCATTGGTCCATTTCAGGTCACATGACTCTTGTGGGACCATCTCCTGCGCTCCCATTGGCAGGGCCTGAGTCATGTGACCAGCCAGCACCACAAAAGATGGCGTCAATCAACAGAAGAATGACCAGCACGATCCATGGGGCCCTTTCAGCCCTGGTTACTGGGAAGAGGGTCTCCAGAGGCCCCCTAGGTCCAAAGAGGGAAGGTCCTGACCCCCTTCCCGCACCCTGTTTCCCCAGGCCCCAAGCAGGACGCGGAGGCAGCCAAGAGGTTCATCCTGGACATGTACACGAGGATGTACGCCGGCTGCGTGGACGGCCCCGAGGGCAGCAAGAAGGGCGCGCGTTCCCGACGCCTCTTCAGCCACTACACATGTGCCACGGACACACAGAACATCCGCAAGGTCTTCAAGGATGTGCGGGACTCGGTGCTCGCCCGCTACCTGGACGAGATCAACTTGCTGTGACCCAGGCTCCACCTGAGGCAGGCGGCACCGGCGGGCGGGTGGGAGGAGGGGGTGGCTGCAGGGGACCCCTAGTGTCCCTGGTCTCTCTCTCCAGCCTCAGCCCACACGCGAGTGAGTCCGGGGATGGAAAGCCCTCTGTCGGCCGCTCTCTTCTCGGCCTCTCACCAGGACAGCTCCCCCAGGGTAACGCCTTCCCTTGCTTGACTCAGTTTACCTCCTTCGAAAGGGAAGGAGCAAAACGGCCATTTGGGATGCCAGGGTGGATGAAAAGGTGAAGAAACCGGGGGATTGAGGACTTGGGTGGGTGGGCATCTCTCAGGAGCCCCATCTCCGGGCATGTCACTTCCTGGGCAGGGTTCTGGGACCCTCTGTGGGTGACGCACACCCTGGGATGGGGCGAGTAGGTCCTTTGGCGCCTTCTTGCGTGGACTCTGGCGCGCTCTAGTGGACGGGAGAAGGAACGCCTTCCCGGAGCCCGAGGACTCGGGGAGTGCAGGGACTCCCCTTTGCAAGGGGTTAACAGACCGCTGGAAAACACTGTTCCTTTCAGAGCTTCGAGGCTCACAGCGTGTCCTGCCCCGGTTTGCAGACGAGGGAAATCGCGGCGCACAAGCGTCCCCCCATCCTTCGCAGGCGGGGGGCTGGACATGCCGCATCTTAACCTTTTGTATTTATTCCCTCACCTTCTGCAGGCCCCGTGCGGGGTGGAGGACATTAAAAATTTCTTAGAGGCTGTGTCACTAGTGTCCTGTTTATCCCCTCTGCATTCCCTTCTCGGGTTCCCTGTCCCAGGGGGCAGTGGTTACCGTTGCGGGGACCAGGGAGCAATGTGGAGTAGCAAGGAATAAAGTTTTACGTCTTGTCTGCTCACCTGTCCTGAGGGTGGTAACCAGAACTGTGCAGGCTGTGAGTCCTGCAAGCCGGGATGTGGAGTCCAGCCTCCCTCCCTGGCTGGGGGGACACTGGAGCAGACCCCTCCGCTGTTACTGACCCGAAATTCCAGCTGCAGCCACCTCCCCACTTTGAGAAGGCCTCTTACCATCCTCAAGGCGGTGTTCTGTGGTGGAAGCTAGAGCACCCCCATTTTACAGATGAGGAAACCGGGGCACAGAGAAATGCAATGCAAGTCACACACCTGGACTTCGAAGAGGCAGGAATCTGTTCCTATGTTGAACACATTTGTGATTTTTTGTTTGTTTGTGAAACAGTCTTGCTGTGTTGCCCAGGCTGGAGGGCAGTGGTGCGATCTCAGTTCACTGCAGCCTCTGCCTCCTGGGTTCAAGTGATTCTCATGCCTCAGCCTCTCGAGTAGCTGGGATTACAGGCATGTGCCACCACACCCGGCTAATTTTTGTATTCTTTAGTAGAGACGGGGTTTCTCCATGTCAGCCAGCTGGTCTCAATCTCCTGACCTCCAGGGCTCAGCCCGCCTCCGCCTCCTAAAGTGTTGGGATTATAGGTGTGAGCCACTGTGTCCTGCCTAACTTTTCCGCTTCTTATAAAAACACTAGTCACACTGGATTGGGGTCCAGCCTGTTGTCCCCATCTTAACTGGATTCCACCTGCAAAGACCCTATTTCTGAGTAAGGTGCCGTTCACAGATACGGGAGGTTATTACTTGACCATATCTTCTTAGGAGAGCCACATTTCACCCTATAAGAGGTATTTTGTAGTATAAAAATTAGCCGGGCGTAGTGGTGCATGGTAGTAAACCCTGCTAACTGAGAGGCTAAGGCATGAGAATTGCTTGAACCCGGAGGCGGAGGTTGCAGTGAGCAGAGATGGCGCCACTGCACTCCAGCCTGGGTAACAAGAGCAAAACTCCCATCTCATAACATCATCAACCCCCCACCCCTCAATTAGCCATGATTCCTTCATATCGAATAGCCAGTGAGTGTTCAGATTTCCCCATTTGTCTTGTAAATGTCTTTAAAGAATACTTTGGGGTCCGGGCACGGTGGCTCATGCCTGTAATCCCAGCACTTCAGGAGGCCGAGGTGGGCGGATCACAAGGTCAAGAGATCGAGACCATCCTGGCCAACATGATGAAACCCTGTCTCTATTAAAAAATACAAAAATTAGGCCGGGCACGGTGGCTCAAGCCTGTAATCCCAGCACTTTGGGAGGCCGAGGCAGGTGGATCATGAGGTCAAGAGATCGAGACCATCCTGGTCAACATGGTGAAACCCCATCTCTATTAAAAATACAAAAAATTAGCTGGGCATGGTGGCACGTGCCTGTAATCCCAGCTACTCAGGAGGCTGAGGCAGGAGAACTGCCTGAACCCAGGAGACGGAGGTTGCGGTGAGCCGAGATCGCACCATTGCACTCCAGCCTGGGTAACAAGAGCAAAACTCCGTCTCAAAAAAAAGAAAAAAAAAAAAATACAAAAATTAGCTGGGCATGGTGGTGTGCACCTGTGGTCCCAGCTACTTGGGAGGCTGAGGCAGAAGAATTGCTTGAACCCAGGAAGTGGAGGTTGCAGTGAGCCAAGATTGCACCACTGCACTCCGGCCTGGGCAAAAAAAGAAGTCCCATCTAAAAAAAAAAAAAACTTAACGTTTGGGACCAGAGGAGGTAGTTCACAACTGTAATCTCAGCACTTTGGAGGCCGAGGTAGGTGAATTGCTTGAGCACAGAAGTTTGAGATCAACCTGGGCGGCATAGCAAGACCCTGTTTCTAAAAAAAATAAATAAATTAGCTGAGTGTGGTGGCTCACACCTGTATTCCTAGCTGTTCAGGAGGCTGAGGCAGGAAGATCCCGTGAGTCCCGGAAGTACAGGCTGCAGTGAGCTGAGATCACACCACTGCACTCCAGCCTGGGCAACTGAGTGAGACTCTGTCTCAAAAAAATTCATGTTTACTAATTATTTTACAAATAATTAGTAAAATAAATGTTACAAAAATTTAATACAATTTTACAAAATAGGTTGGAGTCCCTCTCTGTTGCCCAGGCTGGAGTACAATGGCACGATCTCGGCTCACTGCAACCTCCACCTCCCCGGTTCAAGTGATTCTCCTGCCTCAGTCTCCCAAGTAGCTGGGATTACAAGCGCCTGCCACCACACCTAGCTAATTTTTGCATTTTCAGTAGAGATGGGTTTTCACTATGTTGGCCAGGCTGGTCTCAAAGTCCTGACCTCAAATGATTCACCCACCTCAGCCTCCCAAAGTGCTAGGATTACAGGTGTGAGCCACCATGCCCAGCCAATTATTTGTAAAATGAAATTTACAATTTTTCAATAAAATTTTACAAAATAATTTTATGAATTATTTGTAAATGTTACAAAATAATTTTACAAATTATTTAAATTTTACATGTAATTTTACAAATTATTTTTTGTTGTTTTGTAATAATTTTGTAAGTATTTTACAAATTTATTTTACAAATTATCTGGAAAATAAATTTTACAAATTATTTTTACAAACATAATTTGTAAAAAGATATTTAAAAAAAAATATTGGCCGGGTGCAATGGCTCACGTCTGTAATCCCAGCACTTTGGGAGGCCAAGGAGGGCGGATCACGAGGTCAGCAGATCGAGACCGCTCTGGCCAACACAGTGAAACCCCATCTCTACTAAAAATACAAAAATTAGCCAGGCATGGTGGCGAGCGCCTGTAATCCCAGCTACTCAGGAGGCTGAGGCAG